GCTTCGGCCTCCCAGAGTGCTAGGATTACAGGCGTGAGCCACCGCGCCCGGCCTTTTTTTTTTTTTGGAGAGAGGAGGTCTCTTATGTTACCCAAGATGGTCTCCAATTCCTGGCCTCAAGCGATCCTCCTGCCTCCACCTCCCAAAATGCTGGGATTACAGGTGTGAGGCACCATGTCTGGCCCTGATTTTTTTTTTTTTGAGAGATGCTAAATATGGAAAAATATGCTTCTTGGTATCAGTGAAATAAATGAGTAGTAAGAAGTTGGTCCAGATAGCAGATTAGTAGTAATAGTGTTACTAGAGAAGAAATAAAATGGTGGCTGTTACACCCACCAATAGGTTAGATTTTTTAAATTCTGTAGAAATGTTCACATGGAATTTAGCCACCATTTTGTTTTGTTTTTTACCATTTTTTTTTAATAAAAACAAGTAGCTGTAGCATCTCATTGAACACAATGCACATACATAATGGTTGTTTCCACTTAATAATGAATGACGTATTTAGTTCAAAGCATTTAGATGTAGGTGAAACATGACTGAATGATTTTGAAGGTTTTATGTTCTCTTACAGAAAACTGAAGCATTATTTCCTTACAGTTTGCTGTTAACGTAAGTGGTGGAAAATCAAGTTGAATATATCATTTAGATATACCAAGATAGGCAGGGTGTGGTGGCTCACACCTTAATCTTAGCACTCTGTGAGGCTGAGGCTGGAGGATCACTTGAGATCAGGAGTTTAAGACCAGCCTGAGCAATAGTGAGACCCTGTCTCTACCAAAAATAGAAAAAATGAGCTGGGCGTGGTGGCACATACCTGTAGTCCCAGCTACTTGGGAGGCTGAGGCAGGAGGATCGCTTGAGCCCAGGAGTTTTAGGTTTCAGTGAGTTATGATGACGCTACTGCACTCTAGCTAGGGCAACAGAGCAAGGCTCTCTGCCTCAAAAAGAAAAACAAAACAAAAACAACAAAAAAAGAAATACCAAGACAACCTCAGAGGTTTTGGCTAGTATAATTATTGGGAAACTGCTCATTTACTGGACTAGCAGTTTAGAGACCAGGTTCTTATTAAATGTGCCTGGTACCCTTGAGTGACATTAGGCAAATAGTATTAAATCTCTTTATTCTTCTACGATATTTTCTTTAAAAAAAAAAAAATCTCTTTAGTGCTCAACTTGTTCATCTGCAAAATGAGGATGGTTGTATTCCATTTACCTCTGATACTCTATTCTATTTTGTACTGTTGGGAGGCTAAAAGGAAAAAAATAAAGTGTATATATGTGTTTATCTTCTTTTCTGTCTTCGTCACTTAAGAGTGTACTTGGAGCACTCTGGTTCCTCTGCTGGTCACCTTCCTTGCTTTCCAAAAAGGGCAATCATGTTCTCATACACTGTGATTGGGGTGCAGCTTGGGATTGGTGAGGAAGAAATCTTACGTAGGTCTTCACATGAACTAAATTTTTGTTTTAAGCCCTTTTTTTTTTTAATGCCACTTGTTTCCCCTTTTTTGTCCAAGCTTTAGGAGGAGGATTTTTTTTTTTTTTAACAATAAGGTTTGAAAATCAATTGTCTAGTGGGAGAGACGGTCATAAACTATATTCACAGTAAAACAGAATATGTGTTCTAAAAGAGGTTGTAACAGAGGACTATAGAAACTCACAGAAAAGAAGGATTACTTATTCAGGGGGAGTTGGAAGGCTTTGAGAAGAGGAAATGAAATCTTGAAGGGTACGGAGAAGGGTATCCAGGAGATACAGAGAAAGAGATAAGGGAAGAACATAAGCAAATGTGAAGCCTGACGTAGCATATAGGAGATGGTGGGGACAGAAAATGAGGAAAGTGGAAGTCAGATAATCAGTTTAAAGCACCTAGCAC